TTACCTCACTGGGCCTGCTTTTATGAAAGGTTTATTCCTAGTGCTAGGTCCCAATCTTCCAGGGCTCTAAGCACAATTAAACTGGGTGGGTAGGTGAGGGGAGGCCCATTCAGATGCAGGGCCAGAAATGGGGCTCCCCATTATTCCCACCCCTTTGGTCCCAGTCCCCTTCTCTGCAATGGGCACACATAGAGGAGGGTCAAAGGGTATTGGAGGCAACATCATTGGCCCAGGGGAGCCCAAGAAGAGCTGCCATTGGCTGACAGGGCCTTGTGAGGCTCTGTCATTGGTCAGGGAGCACACCCCAGGAGCTGGGGATAGGCCTGAGGAGTGATGCCACTGGCCAGGGAGTGGTTTTGTCATAGCCTTTGGCTGTGGAGTAGAAGGAAAAGATCTGGGAATGAAGCCCAGTGGCCAGGACGATAAGGGACAGGGCAGCAGCTGCTGGGCCTGCAGGCCCCCTCCCTACCCACAACAGTGTGGGCAAAACAGGTATCAGGCCCCAGCCAGGAAAAGGGAGCCCCAGCCAGAGGGCAGGTGGCAAGGGATGTCCCATGTCCATTCTCCCCCAACCTGGGACTGCCCTTCCCAGTGTCTTTCTCGATAGCCAAGTTGGGCTGGGAGCGGCTCACTGCTCCTCTAGCCAGGAGGGCTTCTCAGCTCCTGGAGGCCTCAGCTTGATGTTGAACTGCTGCAGAGTCTGCTCCAGTTGTTTCTGGTTCCCAGCAAAGTAGGCGGACACAGCATTGTGGAAGAGTAGCAGCTGCTTGTGCATCACCTTGATCTGGGGGTCCAGAGGGTCAGCTGAGCCTGGACTCAGATGCCCTTCTTGAGGGGTTGAGCCTGAGCCCAGACCAGAGGCGCATGGACTCTGCTCTGATGGTGCTTTTCTGGTGGGGGCTGAACACCACCAAGGGCGTCAAAGGAGAGGGTCAATCTGATGGGAGAAACCTAACTTCGTTGGCTGGGCCTGGGGTTCTGGTACACCAGCTAAGGGAGTGATTTTTCTGTTATGATTCTGGGGGCAGCAGCCAAATTCTTCAATAGAAAAGGATTGAAGGGAGGGAGACCTGGAAAGGTCCAGGAGTTGAGGGGGTTAGGGGAAGATCCCACTCTTTAGCCAGGCTGCATTTCCCCAGCCAGTGATGGGGAGGGTTTGGGAGAGGGTCAGTGTTACAGATGGAAAGATGGGCTGGGGTAAAAGGGGTGGGGCTGGCACCTTGTTTTCTTCCAGGAACTTGAGCTTGATGGCCACATCTCCCCGCAGCTTCTCATATTTGTCCCGATGGGCCTGGAACGTGGCCTGGGCACTCTCAAGTCGACCACGTGTCCCTGCATCCCGGGGGCCTAGGCTCAGCTCCTCTAAGTCTGTTCGGTAGGCATCATATTCCAGCCTGGGGAGGGGGCGATATAGGCTCGTCTCCACCCCTTTGTCCTCCACACATCCTCTTCTTTCCTCCCTGAATTCTTATGCCCCTAATCTCCAACTTCCACCCAAGCCAGCCAACTCCCAAAACCCTAGGCCCTGCCAGTGCCCACACCTGGCAGCCTCATACTGTTTAACAGTCATGAGTGTGTCTTCCATGGTCTTGGTGACCAAGGTGTTGATGCTAGAGACAAAGAAGTTCACAGCCCCTAGCAGGGTCTCTCCATTCTTGCACAGCAGCTTCTGTGTCTCCGCATTGTAGCCAAATTCCTCCTGAGGGCAGAAGGGAGGGACAGGCCTTGAGAAACAGTCCCTACCTGACTAGAGCCGTAGGGCCCTTCATGCCCCCCTTCCCCAGGAAGGAAGCAGCCATCAAAATGGAAACAACCAAGGACTGCCTCCAGCAAGGCTCTCTGAGCCAGAAAGTTAGTGGGGCCACCGTAGGGATGCCTGGGGTGGAAATGTGGGGGTGAAGTTCTCCGATAAGTTCACAGGACTAGAACGGGGAAAGCTAGTGCAGCAGGCAAGGGAGGGGCTCTGATTAGGCAAGGCTTTGAAGGCATCCTCGCCAATGCAGAGAAGGGTTACTTGTGAGGCACCTAGTGTGCCGCCTCCCTCAGCCCCTCCAATTTTGGACCTCTGTACAAACCCTTAGGCTGCCTCCACAGGTGAGTGCTGCTGGGGACAGGGCTGGGCCCACCCTGGAGGGGTTCTCCCTCTGGGCTGCAGGAAGGAGGGTGGGAGGGATGCTGAGGGGTGACTGCGTGGGAGGGCCTGGGCCCAGTCCCCCCCAACCTTCTGTGGCCTGGGCGAGGCACCTGAAGCTCTGGGGACTTCTGGCTGAGGTCAGCAAAGGCGTCACCTAGTGCATGCTGGGTCTGCAGCAGGCTGTAGAGGTGGGCTGTCAGTGCCCGGCCCAGCTGCAGGACACTCTCATACTTGCGCTTCGTCTCACGCAGCAACTCAATCTGCAGCTCTAGCTCCAGGTCCACAGTCCGGGAGCCTCGACCAAATCGCTCTGATAACAGCTGCTTTGTGCACTGATTGGGAAGTGGGGGAATAGGTCAGAGACCCTAGCACTCTGCCCCCAGACAGGTATCTAACCCAGCATACCCAGGCTGGAATATAGATGGACTATTAGGATCTGGGAGAGGCAAAAAGGTACCCAGAGGGGGTTTGGGGGAAGGGAGAGGTGCTTGAATCCCACCTTGTATGTGTTGATGCCCCATTTCTTGACGATGTCAAACTTCTCTCCAGCGATGCCCCGAGCTACCTCATCTCCGGGGCCAAGAGGAGTGGCACTGTGAGATGGATGGCGGCCGGACCCTAAAGGACCAAGTTCTCTGACACCAGCCTCTCTCAGATACAACCAGACACCTCTGTGGTCCACCCATACTTCCCTCCCAGCTCTTGAACATGACTTCCCTGAGGGAGCAGTAACTAGAGACAGTTCGATTCTCCTACTCACTAGGAGGAACTCATACCTTGTGCCCTGAGACCCAAATCCCAAATACATCTGGCCTCCTTCAGAGGTGGTGGTGGGGTTGGAGGGGGAAGGAGGAGGGAGCTGCTGGTGCACAGGGGCAGAGGAAACAGAAGAAAATACAATGAGTGGGGTGGCAGGTCAAGGATGGTGGGTCCTGATAACAGGCAGCCTGGTTGACATTCCCACGTGGAACCCTAGTCAGTGTGAGATGCAGGGCTGCTTGTTTCTCTAAACTTTAGAGTCTAAAGTAAAACTCTGAAAAGTCTCATAAATCTCCACATCAGCCCCAAGCTCCAGGGCACAGGGAACTTCTGTGGAGTTAACTTGACTTAGGAGGTGCCAGCAAACAAAGGACACATCTCAAGAGAAATGGCAAGCAGAGCCAGTTGAACAACCCTGGGACCTGGCCTTGGGCTGACAGTCCGCAGTGTTTATACTAGCAGAGGCTTCCAAGATCTCCAGAGGTAACTCAAGCTTTCTTAGACATAGCCTATGCTCCCCAGAACCAGTCCTCTCCCCTTCTCCATTCAAGCTTCCTCTCCTGTTCTGATCATTCATACCTGTGGGGATGAGTCCATCACCAGAGCCCCCATAGCCACCAGACACAATGCTAGTTTCATTGAGGTTGGGTCCTGACACCATCACCTGCTGGAGGTCCTATAGGCCAGAGAAGAAGGGGGGGGGGGGTCGTGTTCAGGAACATAGGGACAGCTGAAGCATTTTGGGGGTGAGAACAAACTTGGATTGAAGCATCACAGAAAGAGCACATAAAGGAAGTCTGCACAGAATCAGAACAAAGATTTGTAAAAAGATTGAAGGGAGTTCGATAAGTTAGGAAAGGCTACTGGAATAGCCCAGGGTTTATGAGTCGGGATTCCTAAATTGAAACAATAAGGAGAAGAAATCAAACAGAAGCACCTGCTCCAGCCCATCATCCTCAGGAAGCTGCCCGGCTTCGCCGTTCCCGTGGATGGGGATCTCCATTGTGGCTGCCTTCCCTAGGATCCCGTCCGTCATGGCTAGGGAAGGGACTGGAGTCAATGTCTCCACCCCAGCGCCCTGCAAAGCCCAACACAGACAGTTCCGGAAATTGGCCAGGCCCATAGAAGAGAAAGGTCTCCCCTGCCATTTCTGAGGTTTAGAGATTGTCCCGCGGATAGAGTGTTCTGGAATTTGGCTACCACTCCTTTCCTCGGGTAGTGCGAGTATATGTATTTCTTCCCTCCAAGGTGCATATATTTACACATGCACACCCAGGCCTCAAGTGTCTTCTCTTGAACACTTCCAACCTCACCAGGACTCCGGTGATTATTCATGCATTCCATTATTCAACAGACATTTAATGAGTGCCTACTATGTGTCATGTGCTATTTGAGGCCATGAAATACAGCAGTGAACAAGAGAGATAAAGTCTGTGTTCTCTTGAAGCATATCGCCACGCAGGTGTTTCTCCCCATCAGGAGATGAACCCCTTTCCAGGGCTCGGTATGTTCTCTATCGCTTACCCTTTCAACACTCCTTCAGTGTTTCTTCCCCTTTCCTTCAGGTGGTCTCCCCCTCCTCCATCCCATGCACCTTCTCTTCCTCGGGCTCTTCCCACCAGGCCTTAGTTGTTTCAGTTGGTTTATGTTCCCAGCTTCTGGGAAAGCCTCTTTTTCCCAGGACATAGGTGATCCCTTCCAAAGTCAGGTGATCCCTCCCCAGGTGTGTTTCCCCCACCCCCCACCCCAATACACCTGGGCATCAGGTGTGTCCTCATCCTTCCCCAGGCTCAGAGGTATCTTGCCCTCAAGACAGGTTCATGCATTCAACTTCCCCTTGCCCAAGTATGCCCCTCTCACCTGGGGACGGGCCTCTCTTCCCCTCAGGGCGCCTGGCCCGGGCCGCGCGGGGACCTCGGGCTCCAGCTCCCGTCGCGATCCTAGCAGCAGGTCAGGGACTCGGCGGAAGTGACGTCCTCTCCCGGGCAGAAGAAGCCGGCCACGTCGCAGATTATAAGGGCGGAGGTGACGTTAGCAGCCGGGGGCAGGGCGATCCTTGAATCAACCCCTCAGTCCCTGGGGATGGACGAGAGATTACTTCCGGGGCGTTACCGAGAAGCTGTAACGGAAGTGACGTAGTGCGTGCGCTGGTGGCGGTATGGAGCAGCAGCAGCAGCAGCAGCAGCAGTTGAGAAATGTGAGTGGCAGCTGCAGTGGCTTCAGGGCCCTACATTCAACTGTCCTCGCCCCCCGCATGACGGGAACCCCAAAAAGCCAGGGATCCGAGGGCTAGGGACATCGGGCTGTGGTGCGCGGTCCTGGGAAACTTCAAGGCGGCGTGCGCAGCCTTGAATTGAGTTCTGGGTCTCCCTCATAGCTGAGCTCTTGGTCCCCTTCTCTCCCAGTTGCGTGACTTCCTGTTGGTCTACAATCGGATGACGGAACTCTGCTTCCAGCGCTGCGTCCCCAGCCTGCACCACCGAGCTCTGGATGCTGAGGAGGTGGGTAACCGCGTGGGGGATTCCTCCTCATCCTCAGAGTTAACCGTAAACTGCGTCCTTCCTTCCCCCACTACCTTTGGCCAGGGCCTTGCCATGACCCTCGCCCCTAGGTTGGAGATGGGAAGGAAGGAAATGGATCTGACAGGACACCTTTGTCCCCTCTGCCCACCCTGTCTTCCTTCCAGGAGGCCTGTCTGCACAGCTGTGCTGGGAAGCTCATCCATTCCAACCATCGCCTCATGGCCGCTTACGTGCAGCTCATGCCTGCCATGGTACAGCGCCGCATCGCAGACTATGAGGCCGCCTCAGCTGTGCCAGCTGTTGCTCCTGAACAGCCTGGAACCTCGCCGTCAGGCAGCTAGCCATCACCAACCCCCGGATGGGAGGCACTGGATGGACCCTCAAATTGAAGGAGCCAGTGGACCTTGCTTGGGCTGGGTACAGCCTGTACATAGAGAGTGAGGCGTTGCCTGAGAGCTGGGTACTGTTGCTCCTTTTTCTAGAGTTAATAAACCCGCTTTTGTTATGTTTGGTTTATATTCTGGGCAAGGAAGCTTTGCCCACTTTTTAGCACCATCTTTTTTTATTCTGTCGGTTAGTGCATATCTGCCGGCTTCAGCCCTGGCTGCAGAAAAATTGCCTTCTTTGTATAGAAGGAAACCTCAGCATTCCCAGGAACCTGGTTAAAGCAAGGTCCGTGGGTACAATTTTAAGGTTGGTAATAGCAACGAGAATTTGGTTCCTGCCCAGAAGACAGAGAAAATGGGAGCTCTGTCTAGCTGTCCTTTACTTAATCTGCTTTTAATGGCTCACCTGTGAGCCAGATGTGCATTCATTCATAGCTATTTTTTGTGGACTATGCCTTACGAGAAGGAATTGTGCCAGATTTGGGGAAAGGAAGAAATATCCAAGGACAGTAGATCAAGAGATCACAGGGATTTTAGGCACCACCTCCTGGGAAATCAGTGGCTCCAGAACAGAGATGAAACCTGTGAGAATCCTGGGGTGTTGTGGCACTTCAGCCATGTCCCCAAGGTGTTCTTTTCTCACTATTTCCTGTCTTCCTCAATGAGCAGTAAAACCTTAAAATAAAGAAGGCGTGTGCTCATCTTCAGGGGCAGTGAGAAAGGGGAAAACTTAGACTGTATTCTGCAATATGGTCAGCCTTGAAGGAGAGAAACCCAAGGAAGTAGTAGATGGTAGTGATTATGGGAAAAAAAAGGGATAAAATGAAATCTTCAGGACCTCTTAATGTTACCTTAATGTCTCAGTGCTTATCTATAATCTCCTAATTCCAGCTCTTCTACCCTCTACCCCATGTTGTTCCCACTGTGCCTGTCCTGTGATTTCTAATTCCAGCCTATCCATTCTTTCCTCATTATTGCCCCCTTGTGGAATTTACTTCTGCATTCAGCAGTCTGAATGGCCTATCATTCCATCACCCCATTTTCTTGCTGCCCTTGTGTCCTTTTTGTATCGTTCCAGTTGTTTAATCTTTTCTGTTCCTCTATTCAAACTGCTAGAGAAAAACACAGCTGTATAATGAATGCTACTAAATATTAAATGAAGGTCTCCAACTTCAACCAAGGACTCACTACCAGTAAGCAACCCTTGTGGGTTCTGGTCTATTTGCTCTCCTTAATCGCCATGGCAGTTATTTACATCTTCACTGTTCTCCTTAATCCCCCATCTCACCCTCCACAGTCCCCCAACAGGTGACCATGTCCTTTCATTTTTTTACAGAGGCAATGGAAACTCTTAGACATCGGCACCCACAGTAATAAAAATAACTTCTTACAGTCACCCACAAAGCACACGTTTTCTCCCTGTACAGATCAGGAAGTTGAAATTCTGTATGTGCAGTCCTTGTATTAAAATACAGACCTGACTTTAAAATCCATGGTTTGTTTTTTTTTACTATACCAGATTACCTCACAAAATAATATCTGTTGAGCCCCCACTTTGTATAGGTTCTGACGTTGGTGTATGTCCTGCTTCATCTTAGTTAATCTTTATGACAAAACTACAAGTCATAGGTATTATCCCCACTTAACAGATGAGGAAGCAAGAATCCAGAAGATACTAGAAGCACATCTTGTACACAATTACCTGTTGAGAAAAGTTAACTCCAATCAGCTTTTTGCCTTTTTAGGGTTGGTGTTTCTGCCACTGTGGCTTCAGAACATAACTGCCTACTCCTTTGCAAAGTCTGATTCCTTTGAGGCTATTCAAGTGTACCACTCTCCCTATTTGTCCTTAGTAACTACTCCTATCCTACTTTCCACTAAATACCTAGCCCTTGGTCTTTCTAGCTACCTGTTGATACTTAATGTTTACATGGGCACTCCATTCAGAATCTTGGTTTCTTAGTTTTTTTACCCATTCTCCAATGATTTTCATTCTCTTAGCTACCCATTCCTGTAGTTATATCCCAGCTATTGTCTTCAACTCACACTGCTCTATTCAAAACACTATTACTTGCATCTTATTCACCTACCATATTCCTCCCACTTTATTTATTGAACTATTCTACTACCATTCTTTGATTTCACTGGAGCAGTCAGGTCATTGCTTCTACCTTCTCTCCATGAACACCTTCCTGTCTTTAGATTCCTATTCAAGCTTAAATTCTGGTGATCCTCTTGGAATAGGCTGCATTTGCTTAACTCGTCTCTTTTGGATTCTTAGATAAAATGAAACATTTGCGCTTCCATTTGGAGAACTAAAAGCCACCCAAGGAAATCACTATAGAGCAGATTTATAGCACTATGGACCTATGGCTACCAGCTTCAAATAGAGTCTCAGCCCCTATAATCCTACTGGATTTTTCTAGTCATCTCTCCTGCTTACTGCAATGAGTATTTCAAACCAGTATTCTTAAGTCTTATTAGCTCCCCCCCCCACACACACCATTCTCTTCACTTCCTGAAGATATCATTTCTTACTTCATTGACAAAAGTAAAAGCTGTCAGTTGGGAACTTGCACAACATCTGGCCACCAAATTTGGTCACCCACCCACATCTGCATCGTTCTCCTTTCCTGTCTAAACAGGGCAAGCGTTCCTCTTAAGGCCAATGCCTATTCCTTTGCTCTGAATCCTAGTCCTTCCTTTGGAATCTCTGACTTTTTCCCACTTTACTAAATTCGCGTCAGTATTTAAACCTGCTGAAGACTCCCCTGTTAGAACAAACAAACCACTCTGTACCTCATTCCCCCCCGGGCTGTCATCCTCTTCTTTTCTACTGTACAGCTAAACTCAAAACAGTTGGATACTTTAGCCCTCTCCATCCCATTTCTCTATTCAGTCTGTTTTGACTTCTGTAAGCTTTATTCTACTGAAATGGTTCTTACTGAGATCACCCTGGCTTACTGAGGATATGACCTTCATATCCCTGAATCCAGTGGTGATTTTCCAGTCCAGGCTTACTTCCCTTCTCAGTAGCCTCTCGTACGGCTAACTAGTTCCTCATCGTCGACGGTCTTCCACTGGTGGCAGCGATTCCACTCACACTTTTACTACTACCTCTTTGGCTGTAGCTTCTTAGCCTCCTTTGCAGGCCCCCTCACCTCCACCTCCAACTTTTAAATTTAAGTTTCTCTATGTCCTGTTGTTTCTCAGTCTGTTTTTTCTAGGATTGTTTTCTTCCCCACTCTGAGCTCTGGGTACCAATGATTCCCAGGTCTCTCCTCCAAGCTATTTGATTGACATCTCCATTTAAGTGTCTCAGAAACATCCCCAGCTCAACATTGTTTCCTCATGAACTTTCCTCCTATGCCCAGTACTCATTCAGTTGCTGAAGCTCGAAACCTCACTCGTCCCCTCACTCAATTGCCAAACCCTAACAGTTTACATTTCTAAATATCCCTTGATTTTGTCTCGTCTCCGTGTTCACAGTCTCTCACCAGGATTATTGCAATTGCTGCTTCTCCCCATACCTACCTTTGCAATCTGTTCTCCATTCTTAAGCCAGAAAACACAAACTGATGCCTAAAACTTTGCAATAGCTTCCTATTCATGGGATAAAAACTTGACATTCTATACAGGACCTACAAGGCCCTGCATGACCAAGCTCCTGCCTACCTCAGCTTTATCTTGTCAGTGACCCAGACCCTGGATCATTAGTACTGTTGTTGAATTGAACTGAACCACACCTCACTCTCCCTGTCTGTGCTCTGACCACACTGGCCTTTGGATTCCTTTAACCTGGCATACATTATTCCATCTCAAGACCTTTACACCTGCTGTTTCCTGCCTTGCAATGCTTTCCCACTACCTATTGAACTACTCATTCTTGAGTACTTAGTTCAAATACTCTTTCCTCAATTCTTTCCAGACTCCGGCTCCCATAATTCTTTGTGTTTTTGGCATTAGCACTTCTAACAGTTGCTCATGAGGTCAGAGTCCTTGTTTGTATTGCTAACCATTGTATCCTTATCACAGTGCCTAGCACATAATACATGTTCGATAAATATTTGTTGAATGAACATCTTTCAGTATCTTCTCTGCTCATTCTGTGTACATAAGAGAAAGGCTTTTAATGAAAAGAGACAGAAGTGAATCTATACTTAACCTCTGCTGTTTTTTCCCATAGCACTATCACGTGTTATATACAGTAGTTTACTCATTTTGTTTATTATGTATTATATGTGTCCCCTTCTAGAATATAAGCTCCATAAATCAGGAGTTTTTGTCAGTGTTTTTGTTTTGTACACCGATGGCACCAAACACCTAAAGTGGTGCCCAACATATTTGATGAGCAGTAAATATTTGTTGGGTGAATGAAGGCAAGAGAGAATAAATGCAAAGCAAAGGTCTAGAGCTTGGTTTTAGAGAAAGGAAGAGTACCTCTTATAACAGGAAGGAGAGAGGAATGGATAAAAGCAGATCTAAGTAGTTTTTTTATTTGGTTTTGGAATACTGAAAGTTCCTTTTAAATAGCGTATGTGATGGTTAGTTTTATGTCAATTTGGCTAGGTTACAGTACCCAGTTATTTAATCAGACACTAATCTAGGTGTTGCTGTGAAAGTATTTTTATAAATGTGGTTAACATCTACAATTAACTTTAAGTAAACAAAATTACCCTCAATAATGTGGGCGGGCTTCATCCAATCAATTGAAGGCCTTAAGAGCAAAAACTGAGGTTTCCCTTAGAAGAAATTCTACCTTAAGACTGCAGCATTAACTCCTGAGTTTCTAGAATGCTGAAGTATCCTTCAGATTTTGCCAGCCCCCACAATCGTGTGAACCAGTTCCTTAAAATAAATCTCTTTATGGATATACACTTGTATCCTAGTGGTTTGGTTTCTCTAGAGAACCCTGGTTGATTATTTTTTTTTTTATTAATAGGAGGTGAAGTTATCATCGGAAAGTAAAGTAGAAGAAAATGGAAAATAAGAGAGTGCAGGAGGTTTGGAACAGTCTTTGCACAGAATGGAAGAGTGAACTGACAAAATATATATATATATATATTTTTTTTTTTAATAAAATATATATATATAATTACCGTATTTGCCGGCGTATAAGACGATTTTTTGGCCCTGAAAAATATGCCTCCAAGTGGGGGGTCGTCTTATACGCCAGGTACACTTCAGATAGACTGCCCATAGTGCTTGCCCCGTGCCATAGTGGCCTCCCGATGCCCGCCCACTTCATTCCACATACCGTTCAGGCATCAGCAGCGCTGCTGGGTGTATGCTCGGCTGTTATGCGATTTTGCTGTTATGCGATTTTACCACACTCGCAAAATCGCACACAGCCAACCATATAACAAACTCTGTATTTTGAGTGGAAATGTTAGGGGGTCGTCTTATACGCCGAGTCGTCTTATACGCCGGCAAATACGGTAGATTTTTAGGCAGTGCTGAGAGCTCAGTTGAGGTTACCCAACAGAATTAATTCCCTTTCTTTCTCTGAAAAACTATTGTTTTAAGGCCTTACATTTTAAGGCCTACTGTGACTCGGTGACTCGTCTTTGTTCTTCCCAGGAAGAGTTGCCCATGCCCTTATTTATGCCCTCATTGAACCCTGACATAATTCAAAATTATGTCAACAGCACTTGGTAGAGTGCCATGAACAACAAAAACACATAGCTAAGACAGTCAATTATATCAAGTGCTTATTATCTCCAGGCTCTGTTCTGAGGGCTTTATATACTTTAACTCATTACATCCTCCCAACAATCCTATAAGGTAGATACTACTATTATTTTCAATTTACAAAAAATGAAGCAGGTAAAACATTCCACAGCTAGCAAGTGGTGGTGTCAGGTTTTGAATCCAGGCAGTCTGACTCTAGAGTCTGCCCTCTTTCTCACTAATGAAGATTGCTATACATTTATGCATTTGTTCCACAAATGTTTTCTGATCACGGACTCACGGTGCCTAGTGCGGGAGCTGGGGAGAGAGCAGAGAGCAATCGAAATCCCTGCCACCATGGAGTTTATGTTTCTAGTCAGGGGAAACAGACAATAAGCAATTAAATGTTTATATGAGATGGCAATAGGTGCTATGGAGAAAAATAATACAGGGTAAGGAGGATAAGGAAGGTGGGGCGAGTGTTGATATTTATATTGGGTGATCACAGAAGAACTAATGTCCCTGAACAGAAATTTGAAAGGAGGGAGTTAAGCCTTGTGGTCATCTGGAAGAAGAGTGTTCACTGGTTTAACCTCAGGTTGCTCCCTAGTATCCATTGTCCCCTTCTTTCTTTACTAATAGAGCCCCTGACTTTTTATCTGAGCACATGGCCATTGAAGATAAAGATTAGAGTTTACAGCTTTCCTTGATGCCATGTGTGTCTGTGTGACCCAGCGATGTATGCATTGCCAGATTGTGCCCTTAAAAGTCAGGATATGCTCTCCCCTTCTCTTTCCCCCCATCTCACTAGCTGGGATGGGACCTAGCACCCATGGTGGTAAATTCTCTTGGACCTTGAAAACAAGGACCACTTCCTCAGAGAAAGCAGAACATCTAAAATGCTTGTGTATTAGCCCTGGAGTGACTATACTTGGACGGTTATGTGAGAGAAATAAACATCTATCATGTTTAAGTCATTGTATTTTTTTGGTCTTTTTGTTATAGCATATGTGTGTTAGGCAGAATTTTTAGATGGCCCCCCAAATTTTCCACCCCCTGTGTACATATCCTACATAATCCCTAGGACTGTGATAGATTTTACTTCTGTAATTAGGTTATATTATATGGCATACTTGACCTTAAGAAAGGGAGATTCGCTGGTGGGCCCGAGCTAACCACATGAACATTTTAAGAGCAGGGAGTTTTCTCTGGCTGGTTGCAGAACACGACATCAGAAAGATTCCAAGCACGAGAAGGGTTTGAGGAACTATTGCTGGCTTGAAGATGGAGGGGCCATATAGCACTGGAGGCTGATGGCCAGGAAGGAAACAGGGATCTCAGTCCTACAACCACAAGGAACTGAATCCCGCCAACAACAGGAATGAGCTTGGAAGAGAATCTTCCCCCAGAGCCTCTAGACAAGAATTTAGCCCAGCCAACACCTTGATCCCAGGACTATGATACCCTGAGCAGGGAACCCAGTCAAGCCATGCTGGATATCAATCTACAGAACTGAGATACTAAATGGGTGTTTTTAAGCTGGTTAGTTTGTGGTAATTTGTTACACAGCCACAGAAAACTTGTCTGTCCCCTAACTGAAATAATTAGAGATGTACATAGGCTCCGAGGTGGGACCATGCTTGGTGTGATTCCAGGCACCACAGGAGTTGAGTGAATGGAGAAAGAGAGTAGGACAGAAGATCACAGAAGTCGCAGGCAACTGATCGGATAGCAAGTTGCTGGCCATCATAGAAAGTTGGCTTTCACCTGAAGGGATGACATGGTAAGGTATTGGTGAGTTTTGTGCAGAGGAGTGACAGGATCTGCTTATGTTTGAAGTTTCCCTGGCCATTCTGAAAAGAGCAAATTGGGCAAGGGTGGAAATAGGGAGACGAGTTAGAGGGCTATGGAATAACCCAGGTAAGGTAATGGTGCCTTAGACCAAGGTTGTAGCACTTAAGGTGGTGAGAAATAGTTGGGTTCTGGATATATTTTGAAGCTATAGCCAACAGAATTTGCTGAAGGATTAGACATGAGATGTGGGGATTGGGAGGGGGAAGGGAAGTCACCTTTGACTCCAAGGTTTTGACCTGAGCAACTGGAAAAAACGTACTTGCCATTTACTGAGATGGGGAAGATGGTGAAAGCAGGTTTTGGGGGCAGGGGGCAGTTAGGAGTCTAGTTTTGGACATTTTACGTTTTTAAGTTTGAGATACTAATGAGATATTCAAATGGAGACATTAAATAGACAGTTGGATATACAAATCTAGATTTCAGAGCCATGGTGGGACTGCCCTATGCTCAATTGCTATTTTTATTTTAATCATTCAGCCCCCTGACCCTGATTTTGAGCTTCCTGTGTTGAAGGATTTTGTCTTATTCAGGGGGCTTTGAGGATTGAGATGGGGTAGGTGGATATGGGTGGCGGGGGATGATCCCAATGACAGGTCGTTGATGCCTGGCGCCAGCTTAGCCGCTCAGGGAATACCCTCAGGATTGCTACTTCCCCTAATCAACCGTGTTGTACGTTTTTTCAGACCCAGCCAGCTGACCCTCTATTCCCAAGGCCAGCGGGCAGCCGGCACGTTCCGCCCGGCGCTGCTCCCTCTGCCCCGGGGGGTGTTCGACTCTGGGCCCTCCCCTTTCTGGCTTCGCAGCGGAGCCCCGCAGGGTCAGAGAGGCTTGAGCCTCGCGGGAGGGAGGTAGTAACCGTTCTAACAGCTGGGAGGTGGATGGAACTGCGGGTGACTCTTCGGCTCCGGATCCGCTTTTTTCCGTCCCCTGGGACCGCTCTACCCTGCTGCCGCCAGAAAAGTCCCTTCCTCCCGCTCTCCCACGGAACCCTCCACTCTCCCTCCCCCTCCTGCCAGCCAGCTCCTCTGACACGTTTCCCTCCCTGCTCACCACCACCCACCCCCGCCCCCATCACCGCCGCCATCCCAACCAGTCCCCAGCTTTCTGTTCTCAATAGTCCCCTCAGCCCACAGGCAGACGGCACTGGGATTTTGGCCGCTTCTGAGTGAGGACCTGTTTCTCTTCTTTAGGCGATCGCCAGGCTCCCCTCCCAGGGACGGTTCCTCGCTGTTACCGAGGTTCTCTGAGTGAGCCTTTTCCTTGTGTGTATCAGTTTGCCTCTACAAGTGGTCACGCGTGTGTCTGCCAGTCTCTGCGTGTGGGTGGCTGTGAGTAGAGTCAGCCTGTGCCTACAGCCCAAGACTTAAGTTCATCCATTTCCCCAACAGGCACTCCTTGATGAAACCTCATCGGCAGATCTGTCTCTCTTCTCTCGCCTTGCCTCCTGTACCCCTTAGGCCAGGTGAGGGGGACAGTGTCGGGGACGGTGGGAAGGAACTCCTGTGCAGGGAGGGCCCCTACCTCTTTCCTGGGCCTGCTTCTTACCACAGTCTTTAGGGAAGTTGTAGGGAGGGTGGAGGGTCCCCGGAAAGGACCTCTGCTGGTCTGGCTCTGCCCTGCAGCTCCCTGAGTCCCTCCCTTCCCCTTTCCCCTAACCCTTTTGACCCTGACCATCCTCTACCCAGAGCCTAAGACCCCCTTCTCTTACCCCTGTCTTGGGCTGGGGCAAGCAGGTGATACCCAGCAGCCAAGAGCCTGGAACTGGCAATCGGAGCCTAAAAAATGGGCAAAGTCGGTTCGCCAGCAGTTGACTGCCCAGCTCCTCTTAGACTCAGAGAGGAGGGGAGGCTCATCTCCCACAGAGGCATCATCTGATGCCCTTAAGTCTCGTCACTGGCAGAGGAGACAGAGGAAGTTCCTGAAGGCAGTGACTCAGTCAGAGCAGCCCAGAGGGCTGGAGCTCCTGGTAGCTGAGCTCCGAACTCTGTTCTCAGCTGTGCTGCAAGACCGCAGCCCTGAAGCCTGGCACTATCTGCATGCAGTGCTGGGCCTGCTGCCTCCATATCGTGCGCTGCTCATTGGTCACCTTGATTTGCTACCCTTCCTGGAGCAGCTATACCACTTGGCACCCTGGGTCCTATCCCAGCTCCAACTGGACCTGCTAGATGCCATAGACCGGGCCTTTCCCCGAGACACCTCTTTGTTAGAGAGTGCCTCCCATGTTGACTGCTATCTGCAGAAGCAGAGGTTCCATCATGACCCCCCATTCCTAGTGTGCCCTTTTGTGCAGGCCCAGGGGGGTAGGCAGCAAGTAGAGGAGGAATTGGCCACATGGCTGCGACCATTGACTCTGCCTGAGCTACAGCACAGCCTGGGTATTGTTGGTGCCGAGGTGGCCCTGGAAGAGGCCCGGTGGCTAGATGGCCTTAGCCTCCTGCCCTTGGCGCTGGCAACGGACATCCCTGTACAGTATGAAAACAGTGGTGCTGACAACGCAGAGGAGGAGCCTGTTGGAAGAAGAGAGACTAAGTAAGTGAGGGACCCAGTCTGGGGCTCTGAGCAGAGGAGAGAAAGAAGCCAGTTTATGGGCGCCTTTTTGAGTCACTTGGATGTCTAAAGCCAGCTCCCTATTGATTTTAGGGATTAGCCTGATCACAAGCTAAGCTGGTATGAGGCTGTTTCTCTCTTCCTTTTTGTCTGCAAAATCAGCCCAGTGGTTTTAGTGTTAATCTCCATAGGGAAATGCAGAAATTAATGTAAATCAAAAGTCAGCCATGAGGAAGCCAAAACTTCAGAAGACAGCTTGAATTTCCAGACTTCTTCCTCAGGTGATATTGGAAGGCTGCTTTGTTCTTTTTCTCATTCATTCATAATCCCTGAGCCTCACCTCTGGGCTGACCTAGTATTGGGTGCTGGATGCTGGGTACAGGTCCTTCCCTCGGGATGCTCCTAGGTGAGTGCTTGTCTGAGGACCTTCCCTCTCATGTCGATGTGAGCTAAGCCAGCTCCAAGGCAGTCCCAAGATTGCCTATGGGACTTTCATTCTAACCCTCCCAGAGTCTTCTCCCTGCCTTGCCAGTGTGGGTATCCTGGCTCTTGAGTGGTGATTTCCCACCCCAGTCTGGCTCTCGTTGCTCTCTTCAGGACTTCAGGATGTCTATAGGAACCTCCTCTTCTGAGCGTTCTCTAACTCTAGTCTTGGAATTCCTCCCCATTCTCTGGCCTGATTTTCTAAGTGCTTTGCAGCTTGCCTGTGACACATTCACTGTCTGGGAAGAAGGGTAGTCTTACCTTTAATCAAGCTTGAATTTGTCAGTTTTTGCTCTGAGTTTATGGCTGGGTCAAGTTTTTCCTGAAGCCTTAGAGCCCTAATGGTAGACAGATAGGCAGGCTCCTGGGTGCACTGATAGCAGGTGGCCAATGCCAAGAATTTATGCTTTCAATAACCCCAGCAGACTCTTCCTTTCTCAAAGACCTGCCCTGTGTCTTGAGTGTAAGTTTCCTCTACTGGGGGAACTTAACTGAAGTGAGAATGGGCTGAGATGTTGGAAAGGGGTCAAGTTCTTCGTCCTCTCTGGGGATAAATCTCTGAGGCCTAGCTAATGTGGCTTAATTTGCATGAAGTTCTCCAGGGTTGGTCTCCCAGGCATTCATTCATTCAATAAATATTATTGGATACCCAATATATATCAGCAGCTGCTAGACGCTGAGGATATAGAAGTGAATAAGACAGATTCAATCCCTTCCCTTGGGTTTTACAGTTTAGTTAGGGAGATAGATGTTAAATAAGTTGATACAAGTAAAATATAATTACAAATGATGATAAATGCTATAAAATCAAAGAACACTGCCTTTCCTTTGGCTGCTTTTCTGGGTGTGTGTGTGTGTGTGTGTGTGTGTGTACAGTTAGGGGAAAGCACATCAGAGGAGCTTGTGTTTAGACTGGAGTTAAAATACCTTACAGGTTAGGAGGTAAAATAAGAGGAGAGTTTCAAGGAGGAGGGAGCAGTTAGTAGTGTTAAATGCTACTGAGGCAGGTAAGAAAAATCTGAAAAATGTTCACCGGATTTAGCAACAAGGAAGGGGTTAGTGAGAGCGGCTTCAGGAGAGTCCTGTGAGGAGGAAGACAGATTGTAGTGCATTCAGGATTGAATGGGAGATGAAGAAGTGGAAATCGCATTTTACTATTCTTTCATGAAGGTTGGCTTGAAAGGGAGAGAGAGATAATAGGACAGCAGATTGAAAGAATAGTGGTGTCTAGATAGGACTCTTTAAATAAGATGGAGAGAGGTTCATAGCCCTTACAACAGAGCTTGAGAAGTGGGCGCTCAGTATACACGGAGCCAATGAATACGTACTGGCTAATGGTAAGCAGAGATTGAAGATACCTCATGAAGAGGGACTACGGGACCCAGAGCACAGTGGAGGAATTAGCCTTGTAAAGAATAAGGGCACTCCTCTAATTGGGGGACAACATTAGGATGGGAGTATAAGCAGATAAATATGTGGGAAGGCAGCAGAACTTGAGGGAGTTAGTTCATGGCTGAGAGCCTCAGTTTTCTGTGGACAGAGAAGGAAGGGGACTGGGAGCTTGGCAGGGCTTGGCGTCGGGGTTGGTGGAGGCCTGGAATAGCAGCTGAGGACACTGGAAGAGATAGCAGCTTGAGGACTTGTACTAAGACATCAGAGCAGGGTGAGCCCACAGTTGAGACTGGATACCAGAAATCTATAAAGGAGCCAATTTTCCTGGTTCTGTCATCTTCTGAACCTATGTGGATCATGTAGGACTTTAATTGTTAAGAAAATGAAACTTTAATAGCAGTTATACCATTACGATGTCCTGACCCAACATCAGGGTCAAAAACCCTGTTGTTCATATGAGCTTTAGAATAGAACTTCACTGTTATCCCTGGGGTAACTTGTTCTGTTGATCTAGGTTTGGGTCAATTAATGACACTAGTATACTTTTTTAAGTCTAAGTTTAATTATTCAGGGTGTGTGTGTGTGTGTGTGTGTGTGTGTGTGTGTGTGTACGTACGTGCAATACGTGCATGCTTTGAAGTCACTCCAACCAAAATTATTAGTCCAGGTGACTGACATTTGGTTTCTTGGATAATTAATTTTCGTATCAATTTTGTTGACTGGTGTGGTAGAAGTGTAAGAAGATTGACAGTACTGGTGCAGGCTTGAGGGGGTAGAAGGATGCACCATTGGATCCTGCCCATAAAGGATATGAAGCTAAAGGTTGGGTGATAATGTGGGAAAAGGAAGAAAGAGTCACAGGCATGGAGATCATGCAGGGTTGCAAAGCAGGTATAATGGGGAAAAAAGAGGACCTCTAGAACAGCGGTTCTCAACCTTCCTAATGCCGCGTCGCTTTAATATAGTTCCTCATGTTGTGGTGACCTCCAACCATAAAATTATTTTTGTGGCTACTCTATAACTGTAATTTTGCTACTGTTATGAATCGTAATGTAAATATCTTTTTGTTTTCCGATGGTCTTAGGCGACCCCTGTGAAAGGGTCGTTCGACCCCCAAAGGGGTCGCAACCCACAGGTTGAGAACCACTGATCTAGAAAGTTAGGAAGGTTGCCAGAGAGGAGAAATCTAGGACTGTGAGCTTGCAGGGTTATGAGTTGGGAAAACAAAAGTATTCATTACTTTTACTCAGTATTACATAATGCTTACTTCATAGTAATCACAATCAATCCAGAATGATTATGCATTTATCAGAAAGGGAGGTGTTGTTGGTGCACGTGTCTGTGTGAATGTAGTTGCCTGGCTGTGTTGCATCATGGACTGTATTCGCTCAGTATGTGAACACTTTTGGTGGGATAGGTGGTAGAAAGGCTCTGACAGTGCCACATCAGGTCTTCTCAGGCACCTCATCTAGCTCCTTCTCTCACTGGCCAACAGTGGCAGCCTGACCTCTTTGCTCTGACTCGTCTCTCCTGATTTTTTCTCATACAGGTCTCAACTTGACTCAGAAGTTCCTGGGAAGAAGCCCTTCCAAAAGAGCAGCACTGGTCTCTTACCTCAGACTTCCCTCCTGGGTAGCCAGGTGATGACCATTCTGAAGACAGAGAGACACCCGGAGAAGATCCACTTCCTCTACCTCAATGTGGCTCCCAGCCGGTACTTTAAGTAAGAGCTTAAATCTAAACCTCTTCTGCGTTCACGCCCTGCTTTCCTCCCATGCTATCTGCCCCTCCTCCTTCTCTCCATACTCCCTTCTCTCCTGTCCTTCCTCCTCTCCCCTCTCATTTCTCCTCTGTCTCCCACTCTCTCCACTCTCCACCTCCTCTCCACTCTCCACCTCCTCTTTGCTCTCCTTGGATCTCAAAGGAGATCTTAGTTATTCTCTTCTACTTTTTACTCTGTTTTCTTTGTTCTATCCTAGAATGATAGCATTTGGTGATTACCTCAGAAGGAAATTTATTGGTGACCTTTTCCAATGCCCATGCATGAATCAGGTGTTTGTTTAAATCTTTGCATTGTCAGGGAGGTTTTGTGTTTCCCAAGGCATCCCATTCCTTGGACTGAACCAAAATCTCCTTTCTTTTAACAATTACCTCCTGGCCCTAGTTTTATCTCTGGGGCTATAAAAATAAGTCTCCTCCTTCCACATGACTCAAGAAGCATTCATTTACGTTATTCCATTATATCCAAATCTGAAGTCTTTTTTAAAGCCCTGTTCAAGTCCCATCTCTTCCCAGAAATAATAATAATAATAATAATAATAATAATAATAATTACCATTAATCAAGATTTTTTATATACCAGGCATTGTGCTAATAAACACGTGAGATATGTTATTTAATCCTGGCCTACCAAGTATGTGCTATTATTATTTCCATAGATGAGGTGAATAGACTGATGCATAGAGAAGTTAAGTAACTGATCCAAAGCCACATAAATGGTAGAAACAGGACTTAAACCTAGAACTGTTTTAATTCAAAGCTATGCTCGTAAGCAGTATCTGATACACCCTTCCCAGAGAGCCCTATTTCCTGTATACACTGATCTCTTTCTCCTGGACTTGGGTAGCACTACTGATTTGTATCATCCATTCATTTACTGATCAATTCATTTAACAAACATTTACTGAGGCCATTGTGCCAGTTATTGAGCAATTGTGTCTTGGCTTTAATTCTACTCTTCTCTTTCTTCTTTGTAATACTGGAGCTGAGACTGCAAACTTCATTTTTCAGCTGGCCTCCTGTTAGGTTTGATTAATAATAGTGGGTGCTAGAAAGAGACTAGACAGCAGGATAAGAGGAAAAGGAACTTTCTCCTTTCTTTGCTTGCTCTTCCTGTCAGCATTGCCCCAGAAATGGTCCTTCACCCTGGCAGCAGCAGGCACTTCTTGAATCAGCCTCTTAATGATCCTGAGAAGTACCAACACCAGCTGGGTGGCACGTTCTCATCAGAATTCTGAGTCTTAACTCCGCAATGCCCCTCTTCCAAACTCCTTAGGTACTAGTGGCAGCCAGGAAACATCTCCTTAGAAATCTAACTTCCAGCTCTACAAGCCCCTCCTCCAAGCTCACAGCTTCTAAAAACCCAAACCTCTTCCCTTTGTCCCTCTAGTTCTCAGGTTGGCATCTATTTCCTGCAGTTATTATCTCCGTGCTATCTTAGTGATCGCTTTTTGCTTTTCAGTCATCTAACACATTTTTAAAAACACATTCTCTCTTTTAAATTCACTTTGTTGAAATGACTAGTGTTGTTTTGGTTTTCCTGACTGGACCCTGACTGACACAGTACTTGCTATCATGAGTGGTCCCAGGAGACTAGCCTCAACTATGCAATTCTGATATTGGCTTTATAATGTCCTTGGTCTTGAACAATACTTAGCTCCTTGCTAATGGGAACTAGTATACTACTAATCCATGACATGTAGTGGCATCACAGTTAATTAAATTATCACTTTTGGTGGAATGTGTTGAACCCACCTACTGCCACCTTGTGGCTGCTACAGTTGACTATGGCAGTAATGATAGCAGTAATGGTAGCATTGTGGGATGAGATGCCCATTGACCATGGTGGAAAGCTTACAGAAAGAAAATTACAAGCTTAGAGCTTTAAACTATCAGCCCAATCATAATCAGAGAAGCAGCACAATCAAAGATAATTAGGCACATAGAGAGACGAGAAACCATGAGCAAGGAAACTGAAAAGGCAGTGAATAATTACAGGGCCAGCATTTGCCAAAGAAGGAACCCAGTGAAGTGAGTTTAGCATTTGGTGCTGCTTTTCCCCAAACAGGCGCTTGTCAATGCCAATAGAGGCAATTGTGTATCCATTTTACTCCACACTCCGGAAAGCTGAGCTGTTGACAGACTCAGAAAGCTAAAGAGCAGAAGTAGCAGGAGTTGCCTAGGACTCACAGCAAGGAGGGAAGTGGTTTTTGATTTAACATCTGTTGTAAGTAGGGTCCCAACCCAAAGCCCAGGAGATTCAATTTGTGGGTTCTGTGATGGGTTCATACAGATGATTTTTACATTTTATCCAGATATTTTGCCCAGTGTTTCTAGTTGTTCTCAGGTGGGAGGGTTGGTCCAAATTTCTAGTGCACCATCAGCAAAAGTAGAAACCTGGCATTTGTTGTTCATTTTGTTTGTTTATTTGCCATGTAACAGGTTTTCTTAATGTGTTTGAATTTATCAGATTTTTCTTATATTTGTCCCAGATTTTGATTTATACTAAGGGAGGAATTTATTCCTTCACTTCCTTAGAGTGTTTGCTCCACTATCACTTCCCCACTGTTACTGTCCCATTTAGAATTGCACCCCCTCCTCCCTTCGCACTGCCAATCTCCCTTTTCCGGCTCTTCCCCCACCTCCTCTCTCATTTTTTAGTTTTATCATCTTTCTTCTCTAGTGGAATGAAAGCTCTATCAGGGGAGGGGTGTTTTGTTTTGTTTTTGTTTTTTTCAGAGTGAAAAATTCTTTTTTTTTTAATTTATTTTTATTTTTTATTGTAAAATAAACATTTTTTAAAATTAGTATCAGCTGTACAACACAGTGCAATAGTTATACTTTTTACCCCTCAAAGTGACAACCCCCGTCCCCCAATCCGCTGCCCCACTTCCCCCCAATATCATACATATCTATTACAAATCCCTTGACTCCACTACCACACTATACTCCACATCCCGTGACTATATATATATATATTCAATTATAGTTGACATACAATATTATACAACATCAGCTTCAGGTGTACAGTGCAGTGATCAAGCCTCTACCCCATCCATGAAGCGGTCTCCCTAGCAAGACATGTGACCATCTGACACCCTACATAATATTTACAACTTTATTAATTATATTCCTCAAACTGTCTTTCATGTCCCTGTGGCAATATTGTAGTTACCTATTTAAGCTGTCTAATTCCTTCCCCTTCTCTCTCATCCCCGCTCCCCTCCCAACTAGCAGCCATCAGTTTTTCCTCTATATCTCTGAGACTATTTCTGTTTACTTTGCTCGTTCATTCAGTTTTTTAGATTCCACATATAAGTGAGATTATATGCTATTTGTCTTTATCCGACTGACTTATTTCACTTAACATAATAGTTTCTAGGTCCATCCATATCGTTGCAAATGGTACGATTTCATTCTTCTTTATAGCAGAGTAATACTCCATTGTATAAATGTACCACAGTTTCTTAATCCAGTCGTCAGGACAGGGGTTTTTGTTTGTTATGTTTAGCAATGTGTCCTCGGAGCTTAGGACAGTTTAGCATAGAGTGCAAACTCAGTAACATTTGTGAATGAATGCATGAACCCATTCATTCGTATTTGGAGGGGGTAAATTATGAGTTCAATATAGAATTTGCTGTGTTTCAGGTACATACATGCAAGACAGAGCACTTGAGATGTTTTGGAAGCAGTTGAGTACATGGGTCTGGGACTCAGGAAGATCTTGACTTGCCCCATTTACTCTCTAGCATCACTTAATACTCCAATTGACCTGAGCTCTTGGAGGGCATGGACTTATGTAGTAGTTATCTTTATGTCCTCATCTCCAATCACAGTACTTGGACAGATGGGGAACTTGAGAAATGATTTAACTAAGCTCCATGAAGTCAGGGATTGGATTTTTCTTGTTCACTGCTGTCTCCTCAGTGCCTGACACAGTGCTTCGCTTAATAAACATTTGTAGAATGAGTGACTGTACCTAAAAGGAGCAGTGGCCATTTGGAGTGAGGAGAAGACTCCCTAACTGCAGAAAGAGTAGCCTCCATTAAGAAGGTCATAGGAACAGGAGTGTCCCCTTGGGAGAGCTAGGGCTCAGTTAGGGGAGGTAGCTATCCTGTGGAAAGATAAATGGCCTAGTAGTTAAGAGAGGAGGCTTGAGTCAGGTAGATTGGGTTTTAAATCCTGTATTCTTCCCTTAGCTGCCTTGGGCAGTTATGACTTCATTGTTTCTGTTTTCTCATCTGTAATTTGGTAATAATAGTACTTGAGAAGACCTGTTTACTTTGTGAGAAGTGAAACAAAGTTGTTATATGACTTAGTGAGTTCATTCTGTTATCTATCTGAACACTCTTAAGTCATTTGCTTAATGATGTATTCTAGAAAGTTGATAGAGATAAGAGATAGAGGATGGGGCGGCCAGTTAGCTCAGGTGGTTACAGCGCAGTGCTCATATCCAACCAAGGTTGCCGGTTCGATCCCCACATGGGCCACTGAGTTGCACCCTCTGCAACTAGATTGAAACAACTACTTGACTTGGAGCTGATGAGTCTTAGAAAAACACACTGTTCCCCAATAAAATAAAATAAAATAAAATAAAGAGAGAGAGATAGAGGAGGATCATTTTATCTTTTAGGCATTATAGGCATAGGACCTAGGACATACAGCTTTTAAACGACTTAAACATATATTCAATGCTTTAAAATATTATTGGCTTTAAGTTATAAAAAGAAAACTACAAAATAAAAATTAATAAATGCTTTATTAAATGTTCCCAAACACAACATTTTGCAAACTAGTTTACTGCAACTAGATACAACTATTATATAGCTACATATAAATTGTATTTAATGTGGGGTGTGGGTGCATTTCACTGAAGTAAGAAAACTTGGTATGATTTTAAGATGCCTCTAGATGTACTTGTCTTGTTCACTAGGTGGCAGTTTTCCTCTTTACGGCATGTGTCTAGTCTAGTCGCCCTTGCTTTTCCCCATTCTCAATTACTCCAAATGGCATTCCCTGGTTATCGCTGATGTTATTTCAGTACCTAGAGATATATGTATTTTATTATTTACAAGATGCACATTTTTTTTTCACATTTCAACATCTCTGAAATTATTATGCATCTTACAAATTGATGGAGTATCAGTTGGCAGCATTTTTTATTTTAGTGTTTCATCAAATAATGCTGCAGCTTACAACTGATGGCATCTTAGATTTGCTAGGAGGTAAGGTGTCAGGGTCTGGAGATATGAACTTCTCGGAACTGGCTCGGGGCCTTTTTTCTTTCTTCCCATCTCTCCTTGGCTTCCACTTCTTCTTAATAATATTCATTCCATCTTTCTAGTTTGAAATTCCTTCTGCTCTTTGTCCACTTTCCCACTTTATTCTGCCTTCCTTCCTGCCTCTCTCTCTCTTTTAATCTTTCCTTCCTTCTTTTGTCCCTTCCTGAAGTCTGCTCAAGCTTCCAGGGCTCCCACTGATTAGAGCCTCTTTTTAAAGGCCCTACAGCCTGGTGGTGGTGCCACCAAACAAGGTGAATCCTGAGCACTACATCTTCTCCCCCTTTGGCGTCCTGCATGTGCATCCTGTGGAGGGCAGTGAGACGATGACGCTGGGTACCTGGCACCGCCACTCTGTCCTCTGGCAACAGCTCCAGTTCATCCCATTCTTTAAGTATTTCCTCTTACGCAAGGCCTGGGCCTGGTAGGTGATGATGGGTACGGGATTTGGGATGTGGGGCGAGTGTTGCCGAGAGCGGCAGCGTGTTGTCACTGCCCTCTGATCTGTAGCTGGAAGAAGAGTGTGAAGTTGCAGGGGCTGCACCGGTGCCGCACTTTCCTGGGGAAGCAGCTGCTCTTCGCCGTGCCCCACTTTGGAGCTGGGCTGCTCCATATTAGCAGGTGAGGTCTTCAAGACACGACTTTGATGGAATTTTAAAAATCATTTTTACAAAAAGTAATAGCATGTTCCTTGTAGAAAATTTAGGAACTACCAAAAAAGCACAAAGGAAAAACATTTTGAATCCTTCTACTCACAAAGAACCACTATGAACATTTTGTTGCCTATCTTTTTAGTCTTTTTCAGTCTTTTTCTTCTATCACATAATACAAATGTGATCATAATTTACATATTGTTAAGTAGCCATTTTTTTTCTCTGAATAATATATTTGAACATATCTCCATGTAATTATGTATACCTACATCAATTTGCCCCAGATCATACAATTATTAAGTATCAAACCTGGGGATCTAACTCAGGTGTTTGAATCCAAACTCTCTGCTCTTTCCACGGTATTGGATTTTTGGGGGGGAAAAGTTTAGTTGTTTCTCTTTTCAGTACTTTCTTGCGTTCTCTGCTCTCCTGAGCCACTCCAGTTATCTTCTGTGATAGGAGCTGCAATCTCAAATGCCTACAGGACCCAAGCAGGAGCTATGGAAGAAATGCAGGGGGTTAGGTGCAAGACATTACAAAGTGTGGGGACTATACTTTGATGATTGCATCTAAAGAGGACAGTCACACTCAGCTCCAATTGACTTTTGCCATTGGGAATATAGGTCCAGAGTGTCAGCCACTTTATTTTTCAGGATTTCCTAGAAATCCATATTTCGTTGTAAAATTTCTTAATCTTACCTGGTTTACAAATTTTTATTAAAATCTATGCTGGCCAATTCTTAGTGGTACATATGAAAACTTTTTCAGTCTGAATTTTGCCTGTGGGCTACCAGTTTGCCACCTCTGTTCTAGGCATTCTCCAGCCTCGCCTAATATCATGTTATAATTAAAAGCATAAGGGCTTGGAGGCTGGACTGATCTGAATTTAAATCCTGAATACTAGCAAGGGACTTTACTCTTTGAGCCTCAGTTTTCTGATCTAAAAACTGGAGAGAAAGATTTCTGCTATATAGCTGTAGTGAAAATTGAGAATGTGAATATAAAATACCATGTTCAGTGCCTCTTAATAAGCACTGAATAAATGACACTCATTATGATCATCCTTTGCTTATTGTAGGTCTTTCATCTTTTTCAAGGATGTTTAGAGATGTGTTCTCAGTTCAGTGGTGGGAGAGTGGATAATAGAAGCGGGTTTCCTCAGGGATGGTTAGCCCTTAGGGAAGTTGCAGGTTCATCACTCTTGATCCTAAACCTCACGTGTCCGTCTAGACTTTCAGAGTTCCCCGCTTCCCTTGTTCCAAGAAGGAAGCCTTCTAAGTCAGACTTTGGAATCTACTTGACCCTCTCTCCTGGCAGAAAGGTCACTCAAGTGTAAACATTTGTACATACCCCAGGCCTTTCCCGAAGAATTCCTGGGTTTGAATTCTTTCAAAGAACTCTCAAGAGGAAGCTGTCACTCTTAGTCACTGGGAATATTATAATCTTTCTAAACCTATGCTCATTCTGAGGTGAGCTGGGCTAAGAAGAGGTCAAAGGTGTCCAAGGAAAGAGGGCCGAGCTGCCTGCTCTGACCCGCTTGGCCATGGATTCCAGGCTTCTGCAGGAGCTGCGCTCTGTGTCCTGGCTTCCCCGGGAACCAGATCGGTGCTACGAGCTGCTGGACCTGCAGCGGGCTCTCGCCAAGGAGAACTACAAGGCCCTGCGGCTGCTCTGTCGCTGTCTGCACCTCTGCACATACATCCTTCATATGGTAAGACGCTCCAGTTTATTGTGAACCTTTTCTCTAAGCTGAGCTTGCCAGAGAGCTCCAGCCTCCTCTTGGCTTCTGGTTCTCTTGGGGTGCCTGGGTAGGCTGGACTCTGCAGCTGGCTCAGAGCCACTGGCCTGCCCAGCAACAGCAGTCTCTGTTCTGGGGTGGATGGATCAATAACAGGTGGGCAGTGACTTGGACTCAACCTTTCCCTAAGGGTTGCTTCTGGCCTTGAGCAGGGAGGAGAAGGAACATAACAAAGTCTATTTTTCAGTTGTTTGTGCCAGGGGCACTAGGGAATTTAAGAGTTGGAATCCTGATCTCTCCTCATGCTGCAGGGTTTATCTTTGAACCTATCTTGAAACTTTGGCAGGCCACTGGCTGGTTAAAAGCATCCAATGGTGGAGTCCTTCCTAATTATGCCTACTTGGCATCTGCAGTACATGACCCCTGCTTAGGGCTCTGGGAGGCCCTGCTGTGTACTTGCCTCTTGCTCAGGACCTATCATCGTAGTTTATTGTCTGTCAGGTGGGGCTGGATACTCACACAGTTCCCTGATTAATCACCCTCTGCAGACAGTCAAGTTCTGAGAGAGGGGAACTCACCCAGATTTTGTGAAAATGAGAAATGATGTGAAGGAGGCCTTTGGTACATTCATACAGGAAAACTGTCTTTACCCTCCAGACAGCAACAGTAGACCTGCCATTGCACTGAACTGAGCCGGGCAGAGGATGGGGGCGGGGTGCTCCATGGCCTTTCTGCCCCTCCCAGTTCTTAAACCCCGCCTTTATTTTACTGTTACAAGAATAGTGATAACTTTTTTATAGTCAGTAATTTTTTTTATTAAGGTATAATTTACATGCAGTAAAGTAACTTTTAAGTGTACAGTTTATTGAAACATTTGCACATATACATCTATGTAACTGCCACCCAGATGAAGATACAGAACATTTCTAACAGCCCAGTAAGCTCCCTGGCACCTCTCTCATCAATTCCTCCACAAAGGTGACCAACCCTCTGACCATGGCCACCATGGATTACTTTTGTCTGATTTTGAATTTCGTATAAATGGAATCAGACAGCATGTGCTCCTTTCTGTCTGGCTTTTTTTCACTCAACATTCTGTTAGTAAGATTCATCCATGATGTTCTCAGTAGCAGTGGTTCACTCTTTTGTATGTTATGTAGTATTTCCCTATATGAATGTATCACAGTTTATTTGTCAATTCTCTTATTGTTGGGTCCAATTTTTCACTATTATGAATAATGCTGCTATGAACATTCCTGTACATGTCTTTTGGTGGACATAAGCACTCATTTGTTTGGGGGCATATATTCCAGGAGTGGCTGCTACAATAAAGTATATGTATGTTTTACAGTGCCAAACAGTTTTCTAGAGTGGTTGTACCAATTTATAGTCCCACCAACAATGTAGGAGACTTCCAGCTGTCCTGTGTTCTGACCAACTCTTGGTATTGTTGGGGTTTTTAATTTCAGCCAAACTGGTGGATGTACAGTGGTATCTCATTGTGATTTTAATTTGTGTTTCTGTGATCATCAATGATGTTGAACATCTTTTCATGTGTTTATTTGCCATTTGGTCCACTTTTCTGTGAAGTGTCTAACTCCCTTGCTCATTTTTAATTGAGTTGTTTCTTTTTTTCCTATTAATTTGTAGGAATTCTTTGTGTATTCTGGATGAGTCCTGTGTCAAAATTATGTATTATAGATATTTTCTCCCAGTTTGTGGCTTACCCTTTTACTATTTTAAGGTGTCTTTTGATTAACAGAAGTTCTTCATTTTCTTGAAGTTCATTTAATTAATCTTTTTTGGTTCATGCCTTTTGAGTCCTGGTTTAAGAAATCTTTGCCTACCCCCAAAGGGTTTCTTAAACAAAATGTAAAAAAGTATAAACCTTAAACAATCAATAAATTTGTCTATATTAAAATTAACTTTTCAAAAAACACCATAAAAAGAGTGAAAATACAGGCAAATGCAACACGTGGAGCCACTTTCTGTGCTGCTAGGTGGAACGGAATGGAACCTATCCCTGCTGGCAATCACCCCAGAGTGGGACGGGGAGGGGAAGGATCAGTAAACATCACAGCTGATAACTGAATTGTCACTGAACCAGTTTGTAATGTCTGCTAAAGAAAAGCATGCTGCTGCCCATTAAGCTGTAGCATTACTGAATAACTAAAAAAGATTTGAAACGTTAAAAAACATTTAATGTGACTGCTTGACAGATACCCTTTAGCAATTTTTAAGGACGCTTCCATCAATTTCTAGTTTGCTAAGAGGTCTTATCATGAATGGGTGTTGAATTTTGTCCAATTATTTTTTTTCTGCTTCTATTTAGATGATTATGGGGTTTTTCTCCTTTAGTCTATTAATAAGGTGAATTGTTAGTGTAAGCCACCTTTGCATTACTGGAATAAATCCATTTTCTTTCTTTCGTCCTATTTCTTGTATAACTTTTTATTTTTATATAATTTCAAACATTAGGAGAGTTGCAAGGATAGTCTAATAAACTCTCATATACTTTTTACCCAGGTTGTTATTTTGTCCCATTTACTTTTTCATTTTCTATGTATATATACATTATTTTTCCTGAACGTTTTGAGAGTAAGTTGCAGACGTCAAGTCTCTACCCCTAAATATGCCAGTGTGCTTTTCCTAAAAACAAGTATATTTTCTCCCATTATGACAGTATAGTTATCAAAAGTTAGAAAATTTCACTGTGATACAATTCTGTTATCTAACAGAATTAATAATCCTTGCCAATTATCCCAATAATGTCCTTTATATTACTATGGTTTTTTTTTGCTGTTTTTTTTACTGCTTCAGGATCCAATTCAGAATCATGCATTGCATGAAAGAGAACCGGTCACTTCTCTTTAGTCTGTTTCATATGGAACAGTTCCTCTGCCCCTTTCTTTGGCTCCTTGTCTCACAGTGTAATAATTCTGCAATACGACATGTTCCAAAGCTGCCTCTCCCTCCAGATCAGACCAAGAACAGCCTTAGCTGAGATCTCGCTCTGCACTTTCCCCTTCCCTGTTTTGCTTCCCTCTCCTTTAGAGGTTTGTTTCCTGAAGGTAGTTCCTTCAATATGCCACATTTCCCCCAGATTCCTGCCTCAGGGAACTCTGCTTCTAAGGAACTCAACCTAAGAAATGCACATTAAACCAAGCTTATTCTTTGTTTTATTCAAATATTCTATAGCCACAATGATTTTTTCTTACCCCCTTTACCTTTCAGTTTCTGAGAGATACATGTTAAAAATCTCCTCCTATGACTATAAGTTTGTTAATTTCTCCTTGATGTTCTTTCATTTGCAACGTATATTTCAAAATCATGTTATGTGCATAAAGTTTCATTCAATATTTCTTGATGATTTTATTGATATGAAAATGTCTTAATTCTTGTTTTCTACTTTTCTACTAGAGATCTCTCTCATTTGATGTTAAGAGCATTAAGCGTTTGCTTGATCTTTATCTATCCCTTTGTTTTCAACCTTCCTTTGTTATTTTGCTTTATGTATATCTCTTATAAATACCTGGGAAACATTTAGTCTGAGAGCCTATATGTCTTGCAGTAGGTTTATCTCATTTATTATGATTACTCATAGGTGTGGACTTATTTTTCCCATGTTGTTTTGGTATTTTCTATTTCCTTTGATTCTTCCTGTGTTTCTTATCTTTTGTTGGATTGTTTACATTTTTTGTTGCTATTATTGTCCTCCAATAACTTGGATGTTATATATTTTTATTTTTCTCATGGTTCCCCAGGAATGACTCAGTGCCTACTCATCTTAGTTTTAGAATCTTGATTTTATTTCTTTTCATAGACTCCCAGCTTGGAGGAAGCCATGTAACTCAGTTCTGGGCAATGAAATGTAAGTGGAAGTCATTGGGAAAACTGTAAACGAGGCAGATCCACTGCAATGTCTTTTTGGACCTTTACTCCTGTCTTATTGCCTGACCCTTGGATGAAATTCCTGGTGATTAGAGAAGCCAACTCACCATAATAAGAGTGAAAGTCATATTACGGGTAAAGAAGGAGGAAGATAGAAGAAGCTTTGTTCTGACTGACAGTATTGGGCCACTATGCCATCCCGGGACTTCTTATTGCATTAAGTAAATAAACTTTTTACCTGCTTAAGCCACACTTTTCTAGTTTCCTCTTACTTGCAGTTGAATGTGTATGTAAGATGTTTATATACCTACCCAGCAGGTGTAGCTGGTCAACTTAAATTTTTATAACTATGTCTCTTTCGTGTCCTTTTCTGAAAGCACCTTTTCAGAGAGAGTGCTTGTCTGGTTACCCTGTTTAAAATTTCAAACCCCACAATCACCAGCACTCCTGATCCCTCTTTTCCTGCTCTGTGAGGTTTTTTTTTTTTCACAGCACTTATCACTTTTTTACATACAATATAAATTACTGATTTTTTATGTTTATTATATGCCCCCAAACAGGGTAAGGATTCTCATCTATTTCATTCACTAATGTATCTCTAGTGCTTATTATAGGGCATGTTACATAGTAAGTGCTCAGTGAATATTTGTTGAATGAATAGATGCCAAGTGTGAATTTGTATTCACATCTTTCTCCCAAATAGAATAAGAACCTTAGCAGTTTCCTAATTTCCTTTCTCTCCTCTCTTCCTCTCTCCACCCTCCACTCTTCCTATTATGATCATATAAATATCTTCTGGAGTTGAAATTCTGGATTGTTATGAACATTCTTGTTTTATAGCCTACCCATTTATAATTAAAAATGTTTCACAAATTTCTTTGCTCATTAAAGCTTCTTGTAGACCACTTTGCCTTTTATATTCATTTTCCTGTGTCAGAAATATATTATTGTTGTTGCTGTTTTCAGAGAGAATCTGTGGATGGCAAATTTTGAGTCTTTGTATATCTAAAAATGTCTTTATTCATCTTCAAACATCAATGATACTATAGCTAGATACTGAATTCCAGGTTTAAAAAATGTTCTCAGAACTTTGAAGATATTGCCTCTAGTAGTGAGGTTTTCAAATGTATACTGATTATGTTCTGTTGTAGTAATTATTATTGTTGTTGTTTGTATGGTTTTATCTTGATTGGCACTCAGTAAGCCCTTTAATGTGAGGTGATGCATTTTTTTTTTACAAATATTTATTATAGAACTACCCATGCCAGGCACTGTGTTAAGCTGTAGATAAATGAAATAAGGTGTGACAGAGGCCTCTTCCTTGAAGAATTTACAGTGTAGTAGATAAGTCACACAGGTGACTAGACAATGATGATGCACTGGACTAAGGGCTATGAAGTGGGAAGCACGAGGTATCAAGGATTTCTAGAGCGCAGAAGAGTACATCTCACCAAGTCTAAGTGTGTGTATGACGTACCTAGCTTAGGCCTCAACTGTCTTATAAGGCTGGGATTTGACCTCAGGGTTAGCAGAATGCAATTCGCAGACACCAATTAGTTCTAAACACAAGCTCTATTGTACATCAAAGAGGACAGGAGAGCAGCAAGAACAAAAAGCCCATCTGGCCAAGCACATCTTTCTGGTGTCTCTCCCCTGTTCCTCAACAGGAGAGGCACAGAGAGGTGACCACTGTCAGCAGCCTTTGGAGGCTGAGGACCCTCCCAGCTGTGAGAAGAACCCACAAAGAAGCTCCCAGACTTATTCCCCACGCCGTCATCCAATAGAAAGTCTATGTCAGTACACAGAGACAGAGACAGCTTCCATCACGCAGGTAGCATTGTGCTAGTCAGCAGGTCACATCACCCAGGCCCAACGATTGGAGTCCATATCCTGGAATTATTATTGAGTCTTGCTTATCGAGTCTTTCTCTTTCTTGGTCTCGACTATACCATGTGAACCTCTCTATTTACATATGCACAAATTTTCTATGTGAGCTCCACCCTGAGGGGCTTTTTTGTAGACAAGCCTGGCCTATCAGATGAGCACATTGTGGCCTCTCAATATAGTGTCCTCCATTTGCATCTTCTCTGGTCACTTAAAGATATCTGGGCTAATCTCTACTAAAAAGCAACCCTTCATGTGTATACCTAGGTTCCAGGATTCAAGCTCCAAGACCTAAGAGTATTGCACAGACCAGTGAGTGGCCTGTTGCTCTCCATCCCTCTTTCTCCAACGAGTTTTCCACTCTCTATGCTGACAGGTTCATGAGGATACATATCAAATGCAACAGGGCCTGCAGGAGCGAGTGAAAAACTGCAAGAGGATCAGGAAAGGCCAAGGCTCCATATACCTTCAAAGGGTGCAGCGTCAGCGTCTGGAGCAGAAGCTGAAGCAGGCAGAGGCCTGGCTGCTGCAGCTGGGACCGTTGGCCCGCCTGGTGGACTACATGATTTGCCAATGCCTCGTGTCCGTCATAGAGGAGGAAGTAACCTCTTTTGTGGCCAACATCCTGCAAGTGAGGTGGTGGTGGCATGTGTGGAGGTGGGCAGGCGGTCAAAGGCCAGGTGGCGGGGAGCAGATATTGACAGCCAACCCCTTGACCTCTCCTGACCCTTCATTACAGGCCCCAAGGCAAAAACCCTTTCTCTCAGCACAGCTGGTCTTTGACAATTCTGGTCAGCTCTCTCATGAGCCCTGTATTGAAAAAGTGATCGAGATTCTAACGAGGAGCCTACAGTCTGTCAAGACCTCTGCTCTGAAGGTATTCCGGATTGGGTAGGGGGCTGGCTGTAGGAATTCCCAGTTTTTATCCTCTGTGTAATCAGAAGCTCTCAGCCTGCTCTGAACCCTCGCTGTTTTTCATTTCTGCCCCTTCTTCATACCGTGGCATGAAGGTAATGCAATCTGCAGACCTGAAGACCCCTTTGGATTCCCTGTACTCTGAAGGTATTTAAGGAGACCCAAGCAGGGGCTATGAGGGGTTGGAAGGACTTGAGAGGGCACATGCAGGGTGCTAATGGCATGGCCATAGTCGGGCCTGGGGTATGGATGGAGCAGCTCTAACTTGAGTACTGCATAAATCTAAGAGTGGCCTAAACAATAAAAACAATGATCTCACATAACAAGAAGTTGTGAGGTAGGTGCTTCCAGGGTTGATTCACTGGCTGAAAAGTGTCATCAAGTATCAGGCTATTTATATTCTTCCCTAACTCCTTCCTGGGTTTACCTCTAGGTAAGTCAGGTCCTCTTAGAAGGGGATGTGTGTGGTAGGGGAGGCTGCAATCAAAAACGTTTTTTCATCCTCAGGCTTACTGCCTCATAGTTGCAAGATAAGCTGCAGTTCCAAGCATCCATTCTCAGGCAAAATCAGGGGAAAAGGGGGAGGCAAGTTTGGAGAGAGGCAAGGGCTGAAGCAAGGAGACGAGGTAGAAGAGTATTGCAAAAATGCAGTGAGATTTGATGGTGACTTGGGCTGGGGAGAGGGGGCCAGGCAGTGGTAGAGGTGGTGAGAATTGGTTGGCTTCTGGATATATATTTTTAATGTAGAGCCAAAGGAATTTTGTGGTAGCAGGATGTGTTGTATGTGAGTGAAGAGTTAAGGATGACTTTAGTTTTTGACTGGAGCAGCTGGAAGAATGGAGTTCCCGTTTGCTGAAGATGGAAGACTGCAGGAGGAGCAGTTTGGGAAGGGAGAAATCAGAGCTCATTTTTGGCCCTATTAAGTTTGAGGTCCATGTTAGACATCCGAGTAGAGATGTACAGTAGGCAGTTGTTTAAATGGGATTGGCATTCAGGGAGCGATCTGAGCTAGAGATACATTTGGGAGCAAATAGATGGTGTTTGAAACAGTGAATCTGGGTGAGTTCACTTAGAAAATGAGTACAGAGGACTGTGGACCGAGCCTGGCGGGGTGGTGGGAGGCACTATAGTGTTTAAGTGTTGGTAGTAAGGATGTAATTTCTGAAAATTTTGATGTTTTTCCCCCTTTTTGTATAAAGATTTAACACAAATACTGAAATTGGCAATTAATCAGTTCCTAAGAACTTAAAGGGGAGGCCAGGTTCAAGCGTATACCTTAAAGCAGATACTGGCTTGCTCAGCGCCCTTTTCCATCTCCCCTGCTCTACAGAGGCGGGAGTGCTAAGCTTCCTGACACCATTGCAGCTATAGTGTTTTTGCTTTTCAGCTCTTCCACATATTTGCCACCCACTTAATATTCCATAATAATTCTTTCCTTCTTATGCTAGCTAGAGTGAATACTCTTCTATGCACCTGAACCCTTACTTGTAAATTCCCTGGGTGGGTCTGGTGTACTGTGTTTGTACTATAGATGTACGTGTAAACTCTATAGCAGGGAGGGTGTGTGTGTGTGTGTGTGTGTGTGTGCGTGCACACACTAGAGAGAGAGAGGTTTGTGTGGGTCCTGGAGGGCACTCAAGGTCAATTATGATATGTGTCCCACTAGAAGACGAAGAGGAGGACTCAGACACAGTATCCCTGACGCCCAAGTTGCAGGGCCAGCCCAGCGATGCCGTGCACATCTTCTGTGGCCCGGATATAGGATTGGTGTGGCCCTGGAAGTCTCACACAATTACTGAAGCCCTGGAGGTCCGTGGATACCGGCTACGGGGCCAGTACTTGCCCCCCGATTACAAGCGGCTGCAAGAGGACCTGGACAACAACCCCCGAGTCCAGCAGGCCCTCACTATCCAACAGGCCCTGCTGAAGGTGAGTACGGGGCTTAAGGAATGGAATGATGCCGACCCGTTCTCATCACAGCCACCCATCTCTGCCCTGAGCGCCTTGTCTGCCCCTAGGGTGTGCTGTGGGAAGTGCAGGAATTCTGCAGAGAATATCACTGGATGACAGGCATTTACGAGTTCCTGCAAGCCTGGGGTCCTCAGAAGCTGGAGTCTATGAGAGGTTGTCCTATCAAGGACTACGTGACGCTGGTGAGCTGCCTGAACGTTTGGCAGGCCCGTGTCTCCAATATACCTAATGAGTTGATCACAGAAGGCAAGTTGCTGCTGCTGAGCTGCCGTGACACACGGGCAGAGATGGGTGAGTGCTGCTTACAGCCTCCTTTCCTTCCGCCTCCTGTCTCATCCATATGGCCTTCCTTGGGCCTTGAATGTCCTCCAGGGACCTTAGGTGCAGGCCCCTCATTGGACCTGCAGAGCTTCTTACAGCCCCATGTCTCAGCCCCTTCCCTTGCTGCTGTAGTTGTGAGCATCACAGATGGCAGCCTCTCCTTCTGTTTTGGCTCTGCTCCCTCCTTTGGAATCATGTTCCTGTCACCTAACGCTTTCTGTTCTTATGGCGTGGAGGTAGTTCAGACCAAATGTGAGAAAACTCTTAGCCTGCTCCTTAGGTTAGTGAGCTCAGTTTCTTTACAGAGATTCTCAGGAATCAAGTGTGCCCCCGTTCCCACATTTAGTCAAAATTGACACTAATTTGCATGTGTAAAAATTTATTCTCTTTAACTGATCTTGTCTTACTCTGTAGTCCTAACTTCTAAGCTGATGGAGAAAGAAGAATGTATCCCAATTGCAAGTGAAAGTACTTTTCATTTAAAGCAGTACTTTTGGTCTAATTCAGTCTATTTTGGGTAGTCAGTCAATTCAAAATTCATACTACAGTTCTGGGTTGTTTTTAGTCTCAGGTGTCCTCTGCTCCTTTTCCTCTCCAAGGTGGCATCTGGCATCGGAGAGGGTGGCTGGGCTGCATGCTGTTTTCTGCTGGCTTCTGTCGACCTCACAGAGGTGTAATGCATCCCTGCCCACAGAGGTCTCTGCCCTCCTGACATTGCTGCTTCTGCTGCAGCTGTGTTCTGAGCTGGTGTAACTGGGGTTCATAGGAGCCCAGAGTGTCTACCTTTGCTGACTTGGCCCGCATCGGCTCCTGCTGGCATTGAGGTCCTTGGGGTTTTGGTGACCCCTTCATCTAGCCTTTGTCTTAGTCTGGCCACCCCATAGGTTCTGCTTTAGGGTCCCTTGTCCCTCAACACAGGAACCCCATTGGGCCCACTGGCTGTCAACTCTCTGCTATCTCCTATATCCCCTGCCTTTTGGGAACTATGGGGGACTTGGGAATGTTACATTTGACCCTGTTTTTGCCACAACACATCACACTGTAATTTATACTTTGCTTTAACACTAGCTTATGTTAGCACAAGGGCACCCTGCAAGGGATTCCCGTCCACATGGAAAGTGGAGCTCAAGCCCAGCCTGCTATCTGTTTCCTCCGTACCTGTCCTCCACTTGCCTCTACCTGTCCCTAATAGGCCCAGGCTTAGTTGTTGATCTCCTTGGATCTCTGAGAAATCTGACTTAAGGCCTCGTCTTATCCCTCTCACCTCTTTCTCCCTTCCCATGGGAGGATGTCTCATCCTATTGTTTACTAGCTAAGTGCCTCCATCTAGGAGCCGGCCTTGGAGAGGCTCACAGTGAGTAGATTGCGCAGCCAGGGATGTGCTCTTGTAGGAAACAGGAAGGTTGTTCTGTTTCCTCTCCTCACCCCCAACGACGGTGATAACCAATAGTGTCCACTTCCTGCAGAGCCAAGATACTATCAGACCCATGGCCCCCAGGCCTGCTTTCTTTATGAAGCTGGGAGGCCTTGGAGCTGGGGCCTGAAAGAGTTTGCTTGGAAGTACTTGCCAGCCTAGCCCTCCCTGCCTTTGCTCTTCAACAGATGGAGCACATGCCTTATTAGGTATGTTATGGGCCACAAAACTCCCCCACGCTTTCCCCACCCCTGTCCTAAATACACAGGGGCTTCAGACTGGCAAGGAAAGAACAGGGAGGGCCTGTGATTGGCCTGCTTTTGTTCTGACCCTGTTTGGGGCAGCCTTTACTCCACCGTTGCTTGGAAAACCTGTGTTCTTTCTAGTTTGTTGGCTTCTTGATCCTTAATCCAGAATCAACTGGCCTGTTCAGAAAGAACAGAGAGAGTGCAGGGTTCAGAATCCTGGGCCTGTTTTTCACTGGTTTATACGACCTCGGATCACTGAGCTTCAGTGTCTTTATTTGTTACATGGACATAATAATGCAGTACACTCACAGAGTCATGGCAAGGAGGATTAAATTAGATATTATTTGCAATACTTCCAACATTGAGTATGGCATGCAGTAGGTGCTTAATTTTTTCGTTTCACCTTATACCTTTCTGTCTGCTCTTGTCTTTCTTGCTGATCTAATTTTATCTTCTTATCCTTCAACTCTGTTCCACTTCTACCTGGGCTCCCTTGAACAGTGAATGATATAGTTACCCACTCTGGTGAGTTGTCCTCACCAGACTTGACTTCATTCTTTACCCTTCCCTCTCCCTTACTCCACCACATCCAACCTGATGCTAAATCCTTTCCATTCTCCTGTCTCCTAATTATCTCTCAAATCTGTTTCCCC